GGGAAGGATCACTTCCCTGCTCCTGCTGGCCACACTGTTCTTGATGCAGGCCAGGATGCCATTGGCCTTCTTGGCCACCTGGGCACACTGCTGGCTCATGTTCAGCTTCCTGTCAATCAGCACCCCCAGGTCCCTTTCTGCCTGGCTGCTCTCCATCCACTCTGTGCCCAGCCTGTAATGGCCAGTCTTCACGAGTGAAGATCCGGGGAAGGTCTTTACACCTTCCAGCCTGCGCATTGGATTTTTTAGGTGAGACACAGTGTGCACGGAACTGAGCCTACCCTTTAATCCTAAGGTTCATCTGCCGGGGCCAAGCGAGCTTGGACGGTGGCAGTGAGGTCCTCAGGACGTAGGTGGGTTGCCTTTAAGGGCTAACGAGCCCCACCTGCCCGGGAGTGGCCCTGACCGGGAATCGAACCCGGGTCTCGGCGGTGATAGCGCCGCGCCTTTACCACTAGACCACCAGGGGCCTCATTGCTCTTCTCTGGACCTGCTCCAGCACCTCAATACCCTTCCTGAACTGAGGAGCCCAGAACTGGACACAGCACTCCAGGTGTGACCTCACCAGCACTGAGTACAGGGGAAGGATCACTTCCCTGGTCCTGCTGGCCACACTGTTCTTGATGCAGGCCAGGATGCCATTGGCCTTCTTGGCCACCTGGGCACACTGCTGGCTCCTGTTCAGCTTCCTGTCAATCCAAACTCCCAGGTCCCTTTCTGCCTGGTTGCTCTCCAGCCACTCTGTGCCCAGCCTGTAGCACTGCAGGGGTTGTTGTGGCCAAAGTGCAGGACCCGGAACTTGGCCTTGTTGAACTTCATTCCACTAGAGTCAGCCCATCTCTCCAGTCTATCCAGGCCCCTCTGCAGAGCCCTCCTGCTTTCTAGCAGGTCGACACTCCCTCCCAACTTGGTGTCATCCTCAAATTTGCTGATGATGGACTCAATCCCCTCATCTAAATCATCGATAAAGATGTTAAAAAGGACTGGGCCCAGCACTGATGGGGGAACACCACTGGTGACCGGCCACCAGCTGGATGCAGCCCCGTTCACCAGCACTCTCTGGGCCCGGCCCTCCAGCCAGTTCCTAACCCAGCACAGAGTGCCCTTGTCCAAGCCATGGGCTGCCAGCTTTTCCAGGAGTATATTATGGGAGACAGTATCAAAGGCTTTGCTGAAGTCCAGATAGACCACATCCACAGCCTTTCCCTCATCCACCAGGTGGGTCACCTGATCGCAAAAGGAGATCAGGTTGGTCAAACAGGATCTGCCTCTCCTAAACCCATGTTGGTTGGGTCTGATCCCTTGTCCATCCTGTAGCTGCTGTGTCATTGCACACAGGATGATCTGCTCCATAACTCTGCCAGGCACCGAGGTCAGGCTGACAGGCCTGTAGTTACCAGGGTCAGCCTTGCAGCCTTTTTTATGGATTGGGGTGATATTTGCCAACTTCCAATCATATGGGACCTCCCCAGTGAGCCAGGACTGTTGGAAGATGATGGAGAGCGGTTTGGCAAGCTCTTCTGCCAGCTCCCTCATTACTCTAGGATGGATCCTGTCTGGTCCCATAGACTTGTGAGGATCCAGATGACTCAGTAAGTCACTAACTATTTTCTCCTGGAATACAAGGGGGCTATTTGGCTTCCTATCTCTGTCTACCAGCTCCAGAGGCCAGTTGCCTTGAGGGCCACCTGTCTTACTGGTAAAAACTGAGGCAAAGTAGGTGTTAAGTACCTCAGCCTTCTCTTCATCTCTATTAACTATGTTTCCCTCCAAGTCCATCAAAGAATGGAAGTTTTCTTTGCCCCTCCTTTTGTTATTAATGTATTTATAGAAGGACTTTTTGTTATCCCTAACAGAAGTGGCCAATTTAACTTCAAATTGCACTTTTGTATCCCTGATTTTCCTTCTGCATGATCTAGCTGTCTTCCTAAATTCTTTGTAAGTAGCCAGCCCTTTCTTCCATAGTCTGTAAACTCTCTTTTTATCCCTGATTTCCTTCACAATCTCCCTGTTTAACCAGGCTGGTTGTCTTCCCCGCCGCCTTGCCTTTCAGCACACCACTACAGCCTGTTCCTGTGCACTCAAAACTTCCTGCTTGAAGCACATCCATCCCTCCTGGACCCCCTTGTTTTCAAGGGTTGTTTCCCAGGGTATGCTCTGGACTAGAATTCTGAATAGGTCAAAATCTGCCCTCCGAAAGTCCAGCGTAGAGGTTTTATTGTTGGCTCTCCTTGAATCTCTGAGTATTGAAAATTCTATTATTTCATGGTCACTATTTCCCAGGTGGCCTTCAACCACTACATCTCCCACAAGCCCCTCTCTGTTTGTAAACAGCAGGTCTAGCGGGGCCTTACACCTCGTAGGTTCATTTACCAGTTGATGAAGGAAATTGTCCTCTATACACTCCAAGAAATTCCTAGACTGCCTGTTCTCTGCAGTATTGAGCTCCCAGCAGATATTGGGCAGGTTAAAGTCACCCACAAGGACAAGGGCTGATGATTTCGAGACATCCACCAGCTGCTTGTAGAATAATTCATCCCCTTCGTCATCCTGGTAGGGCGGTCTGTAACAGACACTCATGATGATGTCAGTCTTGTTGGTCTTCCCCCTGATTCTGGTCCACAGGCACTCAACCTTATCGTTGCTGACCTCAAGTTCTCTCAGTCAAGAGATTCTCTAACATATAAAGCCACCCCTCCACCTCTCCTACCCTGCCTGTTCTTTCTGAAGAGCTTGTAGCCTTCCATAGCAGCACTCCAGACATGCGAGTCATCCCACCACATTTCTGTGACGGCGACAACATCATGGCCTTCCTGCTGCACAATGGCTTCCAGCTCCTCTTGTTTGTTGCCCATGCTGCGTGCATTAGTGTACATGCACTTCAGGTGAGCTGCTGATTTCATTCTTAACTCAGGCTTTCCATCCTTAGGCTGATCACTGGAGAGCCTGGTTTCAACCCCTTCCCCCTTCAAACCTAGTTTAAAGCCCTCCTAATCAGCCTCACTAACTTATGGGCTACAGTCCTCTTCCTCTTCCTAGAAAGATGAATCCCATCTGATTTTAAGAGACTAGGTACCATGGAGTTTGCCCCATGGTCAAAAAAACCAAAATTTTGACAGTGGCACCAATCCTTTAGCCATCTGTTGATGAGTTGGGCTTTTTTACTCCTCTCTTTATTTAACTCCTCATCCATCCCAGATAGTACAGGAACTGAGGCAAATATCACCTGTGCTCCTGTCCCCTGAACTGACCGACCCAGTGCTTTAAAGTCTTTTTTAATTATCCTGGCACTTCTTCGATTAATGTCCTCACTGCCAGCCTGGACTACCACCAGTGGATAATAGTCTGAGGGCTGAATTAACTCAGGAAGTCTCCTACTAATATCCCTCACCCTGGCCCCAGGAAGGCAGCATACTTCTCTCTGGGATGGGTCTGGGCGACATATAGGGCCCTCAGTTCCCCTCAGAAGGGAGTCACCCACTACAACTACCCTTCTTTTTTTTTTTTATACCTGTGGTTGTAATCCGTCTTGTAGACAGGGCCGAACAAGGAGGCTCTCCAGAGAGATCTTCTTGGCTGTCCTCTACCTGACTGTCTGGGTCCAGGGTCTCATATCTATTCAAGGGCACCCTGGGGGGTGATGGGGGTCGAGAGAGAGTTCTTTTACCTCTCCCATTAGGGACCTGTTTCCATTCCCCCCCACCAATTTGGTCTGCTCCATCTGCCTTATGGCAGGAGGGGCAGGGCTTCGCCATCTCCCGTTGGACTTCCTTAGAGTTCAAAAGGGTTTGACTCCACCAGTCAATTTCCTTTTCACTCTCCCTAATGCACCTTAATCGCTCTACCTCTTCCTTAAGTTCTGCTACCAGGCACGGCAAGTCACTCACCTGCTCGCATCATACACAGCTACCTCCTACACCATCCTCCGGTACCAACGTCAGGCTCAGACACTCAGCATTAGCAGCAGCAACGGCTTTTGTTTTTCTGGAAACCATTGCTAGCTTTAAAAAGCACACTCACCTACGGGAAGGGAGAGCTGGTTGTGCCCTGCCTGCTTGAAATGCCTTGCAAATTGCTGTGCCACACCCCTGTTAGTCTACTCCTGTGGGGAGCCTGAGTGACCTTCGCACATGCTCCTGGAGGCTCTTACATAGCCTCCCCTAGCACTTGCTAACGAGCCTGACCCACCCCTCACTCACCTGAATCGGTTCCAAGGAGGAGCCAAGCCTGGGTAGCAAATGGCCCTCTCTTTCATTATTGTTATCATTATTCTTATTGCTGTGACTACTGTTACTTTTTGTTTGTTTGTTTTATTTAAGTTATTAAGCTTTTTATCTCAACCTATGAGGTTTATTTTTTTTTCCAGGTGACTGAGCATAATATCTAGCTGCCAGCTAAGCACTAGCTTAGGGGCAATAGCTTGATATATATATTTTTAGTATATATATATAAAATTATATATACAATTATATATATAATTATATGTATATGTATACATATATATAATTTTATATATTTATATCTATATATTTTATAATATATATGTATATTTATATATGTGTGTATATTCATAGTTGTTCCAATATATAAATATATCCATATATATATATGCATGCACACACATATATAAATATATATATAATGTCTAAGATGTTGCATTTATAGCTTAAGGGAGCTCACAAACATTCACACATACATAAAAATGCATCTGTAGGTAAATATATGTCCAGACACATCTGTGAATGTACACTTATATTTAAGTGTGTGTGTATGTGTAAGTGTATATAAACATTAATATCTATAAAGAAGAAGAGAATCCACACATACATTAAGACAGGATCTATATATCCACAGCTTCAGAAAGAGAGAACAGAAAGAAAATCAGACAGTAGATTTAAAAATGTCATGAACACTTCAGTAAGTGACCTTCTTAGGTGTCAGAGTTCTGTGAATGGATGGGTCTGGGACAAGTTTGCTGCACTGCTGCATGAATAACCCACCTGATCCGCAATGAGCCGCGCCAGGACGTCCATCCTGGAGCCTGACTCTGAGATCATCTTTGCTGCATTGATTACATCAGATGTGTGCTTCAGTGGTCCTCTCCCCCTGCAAAGGAAACAAATGCAACTCTGTTATTCAAAAACTGAGGGTAAATCATATCCATGCAAATTAGGCACAGAAGAACTCAATTAAATAAAGTGGCTAATCCACACAAGCGACATTAATTAAATTAATTAAATTTCCCCCAGCTCCATTTTGTTTTCATGTCCCACAAATTTGTATCGTTTGGCATCAACTGGATGCAGAAGCACCAGAGAGATGTCACACAGTTCTTTCATACTGGAAGCACAACCTATTCCAAATCAGGATTTTAAGAGATTTCTTGGGCAGTTTGGTTTTCCCAGGCTTATATGAAGTTCCTCTCCCACAAATTTTCCAGTAAATATGTTCACAGGAAGTTCAGCACAGTGATGTATTCAGAGATTCATTATGGATACTTGTTGTATTCTGGGGTTATTTTTAATTTATTTGGTGCACCCAAGAAGAAATAGAGATAATGAACAGGGCTGTAAATGAACTGGCACATGCCACTCAAAATATAGATATGCCACATCTGAAAACAGTTTCCAAACAATTTCATAATTTCTTCAGAATTTGCAGTCTAGGAAACCAGTAAAGTTCTTGTGAACAATTTGCAAGGAAGTGAATACCTTTAGTTTTATCACGTGCACATTTAATTCCTGAATGCCCTATATCAATTTACAAGTTCTGCACTAGACAAAGGAAGTAGACAACATGAAAAAAATTACTATTCTTCTTTGTTCAAATGAGAAGATCCTTTTCCTCAAAGTCAGTATGGTTTCATGTATAAAGAAGATTTACCATTCATTCCAGTAAAAAAATCATTTAGACTAGAAGTATTATCATATATAACTATGCAAACACTTCATTCAGTAAAAAGACAGCGATGACAACACAACATGGCAGATATGTTTAATCTCTTCCTGATTAATCATGTTGCTTAGCAAAGATCTCTTTGTCAATCCTTGGGCGTAAAGCAGACTAATTACAGTTGCTTATTCTCAACTTTTGAACCTCCATTTGGAACAACCTAGAATCAGGTATTTTACACATTATTTTTTTCTATAGAAAGGCATCTTCTTGTTATGAAAAACCTATTTGGCAAGATGATCAGTTTATAATAGAATAATAGGGTATGTGGGGAATGGATTTACAAATGCAATCCTCTGTGTCCAGGATGATGTACTTCAAACTTCACCCATGCCTTTAATTTTCCTTTCCTGCTGTTTTCCCTTCAAACCATCCTTAGGTGCACACCTGAATCCTTATAACTGCATATTGGCCCTCCCCACCATTTCAGGCCACTAATTAGTTTTTCATTTGTTATTTGCAGGTTCCAAAGGCCAGAGGTCTGTCAGTCATCCATAGCAAATCCCTCAGGTGCTCCACAAACTATCAGCAGTCCAGTACCCTCCTGGAAAGGTCCAACCCAGTCAAACAACACCAAAGGTGAACACAACCCAGAATTAGGGCAGATGGGACAGGAGAGGTGTCACAGTGCAAGGCTATTTCTGTAACAGAAATTCTTGTGAGTATCAGCAGCTTTTTTGACATCTGAAGCTAAGCTGACTGAGTATTTTGAAAGTGAAGTTCTTCAATTAAACTAAATTTTCTTGTACCTGTGCAAGTCCCTCAGAGATTTAACAAGAATGAAGCAATTCTACGCAATAAAGGTTATTTCAACCAAATAAACAGGAAGTACTTCCTTTCACCACAAATACAGCCACCAGGAGAGCCATTAGAGGAACCTCAGCAATGAGTATTCTGGACACTTCTGCTCCACTTGCTACCTAATTGCACCAATGGTTCACGTTCTCTACTGGAATCTCTAAGAAATATGGGGCAGGATGCTTCTGAGCTCTATGCCACAGCTCAGTCTTGAAATAAATGTTAAGTGTTTAGGACTGCCTCAGTCTTGTATCAAAAAGTGCTGAAATCACAGTGTGTTAAGTTACACATACAGGGAGGGCTCCTTTGCTACACAACTATCTGCGCTCTTTTTTTTTTACCTTCATATAAAATGCAGAGCCTTTGACATAAAGCACAGGTGTAACTGCCTCAGGGTATGGCATAATGAGCCATTATGATGTTTGGCAATTCTAAGTTCTTTGAAAAGAATACTTGGGAGAGTACAGCAAGTCTGCTGAATCACCAGGCAAAATGGAAGAAACAGAAAGAAAAAAGACAAAACAGGATGATACTTCAATGGGAACAAGCGCAAACATTACATTTGGACATAACTAACTAGCTGCTTAGAGAGAGAGAGAGACAAAGAAAGAACGACAGTGCCTATATAGTAGTTTTTCACAAAGTCAGAGAGGTTAATACAGTGGGTCAGTCTGAGCAGGAGTTTGTGAGGCAGTTGCTGTTATGCAAACAGCAGATGCCCCACCCAAAGGAGAAAAGTAAGCTTTCCTTTTGCTTTCTCCATTTGGGTAAGACTGCAGCTGCAGTTCAGGGCGGGCGGTTCCACGAAGAACATTTTGACATGATGCAAAAATGTGCAAAAAGGATGATTAGATGTGTCATAAACATAAGGAGAGATAGAAGGGTTTAGTGGGGCAAAGGAGGAAGCATGAGCAGGAGAAGCTCTAGGATACAGATGGTAACAGTCTTCAGAGGAGCTTCATAGAGGATAGGGGAGGTGGGATGGAGCTCACATTCTGGAAAACAGGTTCAGGTGAGGTGCTGAGCTCAGGGGGAACCAGAGCAGAGCAGCCAGGAGGCTTTGGTATCATCGCCAATGGACAAGACCAGACAGACACTCCTTGTGAGGGATGGCGTTGTATCAGTCCCCTTCTGAGGTCTCTTCCAGCCCAATGATTTTATAATTTTAAATTTAACAAAGAAGTTTCATGGTTTTAGGTGAATGATTACCAGTTGCAATGCATATTGCCTTCTAATGCTATCGATGCAGATGTGCACTTTTGAATTCCCCGTTTTCCTGATTTACCACCAGATAAGCAGATTCAGAATGCCACTTATTCAGATTAACTCCCTGGATCCAGATGTTAGAAACACAAAATGTCCATTAAATTATCTAGGTTGTTTTTCCCAGCCATTACACAACTCCCTACCAGTTTTATACTCACTTGCATTTTTTCTGGTAAGTTTGAAGTATGAAAAACTCTTTGCTTGGAAGGCTGTTTCCCTGAGCTATCCATTTAAGTCTCTGGAATGTTTTCCCAGATATTTCACTTAGTCCTCTCTCCATGTCATAGTAACAGCATCCCTTTCCTTCTATAGATGTAGCCCCTGATCCTCCTCCACCACATGCTGAAGCATCCCAAATTGTGGTAATAGTACAGACCTGCATGCATTAGCTTGGCGCATGCACCTACAGCTGATAAAGAAACTAGAGAGATAAAAAAATCCTCCCACCAAGTACTATCTGCTGGCCAACAACATCACAAAATTGCTCTTTCATAGAGTTTTGCACCTTATCCCCTAAATAAAATAATTCTAATTTTTGTGCTATGGCAACCATGTAATTTATTTTTTTTATTATTTTTTAAGTCAGCCTTATCTTACTGTTTTTTTCCTGCTTTCAGTCTCTGAAATGTTTAAAGCCAAACCTCATCTCATACACTTTGTTACTGAAATTCTTTCCCAATGATTTCGCTAGTTCATAGCCTACAGTCGACTCTAAACTCCTGACCTGGATTGATTGCATGCAAGATCTAATATATTTATTTTTGTCACACTGGGAATAGGCCATAAATAATATGAGAGAGAGATGTCCAGTTAAGTCTAACTAGAAGGAAAATAGTTGGATTCTGTACAAAGAAAGCAGTTTAGAATATCCCCACAAAGATGTAGGAGAAAAAAACCCCAAACTTCACATAAATGTTTCTAGAAAGGTACAATCATAACAAGAAAAAATTTGGACTATGTTAATTAGTACCATACCAAGGATTTTGGATAAATGTGAAAGACAGACTGAAGCTGCTCAATCTAATCATTCTTACTCCAGGCCCAGAGAAACCGTGTGCCTGGAGAGAAACTCCATCCCTGTCTCCATAAACTTTATTGCCATGATTAGCAGACATCAGTCTCGGGCATTATTTTCTGTTGTTCTTCACACTAAAAAGCAATGATACTCTCTTAATTCTTACAGTAAAAGAAACTTGTAATCTTATTTCAAATCCAAGAGGACTGTACCATCCATCACATTTTCCAAGAAAAGTCTGCTGTTTCAGAGCAAAGCTGAGTGGCTTCCCCCTACTCACTGTGTTTACTTCAGCAAATGTTTTGTACTTTCCCCGCATCAGAAACAGCAATGGGGAGCTCTACTGACTAGTCAGTCTCAGAAGAGAAACTCCTCCATAACACACACCCAACACCACAAACCACCATCACACCTAAGGAGTGAGTTCAAAGCACTTCAAGGTGTGAATTTGAAGCTTTGCGACTCCTGTCAACCCCAACCCACAACTCAGTGGCCACTGCCACATTAAAGTCTTCAGCTCCACACACTGACCACCCTATCATGGGTCCCAGTTTCTAGATCAGCAACTCCTGACAGCTCCCACTGTTTAGTTTTGTAGGAAACATCCCTTACTTTACTCACAGAGCCAGAATGATACTCCCAAGTACAATTATTACATTTTATGTATACTACTGTATTTAGTTAATTCACTTGTCACTCCATTCCAAGGTACCAACTTGTGCCTCCTGCAGTTCTTCCCAAAACACACCCGGTGTTTCTCCTTTCTTCTGCCTTCCCACTGCTGCTCTGCAAAATGCCTGTAGTACTAGCACGCTAAGAAATCTGGATTCCAGTCACACGTTCTGATCTCTATTCCATGAGCTGTTTCTGAAGTTTGCTTTTTCTTTTATTAATCTACTGACTGTCTGCAGTCCTGAGAGCAGGGATAAGGAAGCAGGACTCACACCTCACTCATTACAAATGTTCTATTAACTTACTGAGTGAACCATTTTTTTCCTGTAAATTGCTTTGCCTGCCCCTCCCAGCTCCATGTGCACAGTTTTAGATGAAATCTGTGAAATGCTTGGCGTTAAAG